CATTTAAACAACTGACACTGGTAACCCCTGGTTGCCTGAAATGTGCTTTTTATTCTGCGGTGATAATACAGCAATTTCTGAAAGTGATGAATGCTTAAGCACAAGCATGTGACATCTTTTGAAAGATCAGATTTTTTTGTAAGGATTTATTTCTGATTGCGCGATCCTTTCAAAGACGGGGAAAAAAGCCTTTTTAAATACTGGATTTACTGTAATGGTTTTGAAGGTAATCATTTGAAAGAACGAATGCAGTCGCACAATGTGGTGCAGCAACACAATGAGGAGGCTGATTTCTGATTGAGTTACCTCTGACCTTGCTGTATGGCAGCTGTCAAGTGTTCTCCAACTGCTGTAGAGTTTATCAAAATCAGGACGCATGCACTAAATACTGTGTGTGTGTGTGTAAATAAAAAGGTCATAGAGGTACTTGTGATGCGCCATCAGAAAGAAACTCAACTGAAGTCCCTTATCTTTTTTGGTCAAATCACAACCTGTCTGGAAGGGTGAATCAGCTGACTGGCAGAATTCAGCCTTAACTTCCCTATGCAAGGTGTTTCCAGTTAAACCTGTAGCCTTTATTGTGTTTTACCTGCAATGGATGGCCCACACCAGCTGATGTTGGGGGGGGAAAAACGTTTCTAGTCATGGTTCAGCAAGTGCTCTGTTCTTTCTTTGGACATCTTAATGCCTCTCACTATTTGTTCTGCAACTTCCATAGTAGTATTGGGACTATACATTCAGTAAACAATTGTTTAAAGGCTCTAAATCCAGAGAATGTTGTTTCCAGCAAAAGCTTTTTAGATAAACGCCTCATAACTGGTTGCCAATTAATGATAACAATTGGAATTTAATATTTCCATGTTCCAAGAACAACCTTTTTGTTCTTTATTTGGACTACAGTACAATTTCTGTTTACCATGGACAAGAGATGCAGTAATGAATGCTTGACGGTTCTTGTCATTGTGACTAGTGGCAGCATTAGCTCCATGTAGCCTGATTGTCACATTTTCAGAAGCCCCAAGCAGGCCTGGGACCACCAAGGAAAAACTTGCTTCTGCAAGGGGTGGTGAACCAGTAGGTGGCACTCTCACCTCTAGACCATCATTACTAAATTCTCCAGGTTCTCCCAGCCTGCTCATTAACCTTTGGATTCTGGGTGTTTGATTAAATATTAAGAGTTACTGATTATTTGAATGATCTTAATAGGAGTACTGGCCCACAGATCTTCAATCCTAGATTTGATTTCTGAGTCGGGTGCACTTTCTGAACTACCTAGGTGAATTTGGCTCTCAAAATGATTTGTGCCCTGCAGTGGACAAGTGTCCTATCCCTAAGCTTTCAGCTTAGGCTCTGTATTGCTGTGACCTTTGCCACAGATAAGTGGATAATGATGGGTTGATGATCTATCAGAAATGTTTTTCTTATAAGTCTGGGTGTTTGGATTATTCCACACAATTATTCTTAGACTGTGCTTTAGCCCTAAAGCAGGTATGGTGATGTGATCGTTTTCTGTAATCTTTTTGAGTGAACATTGTTTCTACTCATCCTTTTGTGTTTTTCTTGATTCAAAGTAAACAACACTGTTTCTTCTCTTGTTTTGACAGGGATGCCCAAATTACATATAGTTAGTTTGAGCTGTGGCTTGAGGAATTTGTAGGGTGTAGTCAAAAAAGGTAGCCTTCTCTGAGCCGGCAGCGAAACCAGGTTGGTTAAAAAAAAAGACCCGCCACTCCTGATGCTAGATACAAAACACTGAAGTGTATACGAGTGGAAACTGTTCATAGCAGGCAAATTGGATGGCCTTGTGCTTGCTTTCTTGAATATTTTTTTCCATTTAAGTATTTCCAAAACCGAGAACAAAACAACTCAACCATTCCTGTTACAAAATACAAATTTTTAATTCTGACAGCCTGGAGTTATCATTTAATATGAGTACTAGGCAAGAGCAAGGCCTGTTTTTGCTTAGAATAATGGACAAAGAGGAGGAATTGGGTTATCAGAAATGAACCACAAAGGTACACTACTGGAAAAGGTTGCCTGTAGTACCCTCTGGACAGAGCATCATGTGTATTGCTTTTCAGCAGAACAAACATGAGTTTGAGCTTCACTGTGTTGGCTTTACTTTAGTTTTCTGGGAAATTCTTGCTTACAACATATCGGATCACCTGCAGATGTTATATTTCAGTACCTGCAATGTCCGGTATACTTAGGCTAATGTATTCATATACTGATTTTGGACTGCTTAGATGACTAATAATGCAAATTACGTTATAAACAAAACATGCTCTGGGAGTATTGATCCTTTTTGATCAATGCATATAAATTGGTGTATGAGCAGTGCTAGATACCAGCAGATTAAGGATACCTACTCCTACCTATTTTGGAGTAGGTCTAGGGAAATATGAAAGTGGGGTAAACGAAGTGTTGCGATTTAATACGCAACAGTAACGATCATAAATTCAGAACTTTCTGCAGGGCAGGTGAAAAGGGACCACTGATTTTTCTGAGCATATTCAGACTTTATACAGGACGTTATGCTTTCCTGACAGATCACATTCTGTATTTGAGGGCTTGATTTCTATCGGAGCACACTTCCAAGTAGGGAGGGTGGCGATGGGGATGTCATTGGGGTAATAAGCCTGCTGAGAGGGTGGTAAATAAGTTTTGAAAAATAATATCAGTATGCTGTGCTGCACTGCAGGATCACACTGAGGCCTGTGCTTCTGTGGGATTCGATCAATTCCATGCCTATTGTTTACTCCAGCCTTGTCTGTTGAGGGACATATCTGATTTGGTCTGTCAGAGTTTTCAATCTTCCTGTCCACAGAGCCCAGCCAGAGGTGGTTTTGAGTTTGAGGCATTGCAGCTGATAGGGAGGAGAGGATATTCCTATGATTTATGTTTTTTTCCATCATTTCTCACTCAACTGGACTTTTTTGTTTAAATCCTTTTCCGAGTTCCCTGAGGGGTCGTGCAGAGCAGTCTCTGTAATTTATAAAGATTTCTCTTCTGTCCAGGTCTTGCTTTAAAAGTCAAACAAGGGAGAAATTCAGCTGCCAGCTTCATTTAGTCTGCCTATGACTTGTGGCAACATTCTACATTAGCCTGAGGCTTGAAGTCAATGAAGGTGGCTGACAGTGACCAAATGTGTATTTATTTCAGACTTCCAGGGTGTCTGAAGCAGAGCCACCTCCATAACCTAAGAAATATAGTGTGAACACTTACTAACGGCTTCTAAGATTGTTTTAGTTATCCCAATTTAACATTGATGTTCAAGTCTGATTAACGTCATTAGTTGGCTGAGACTATTTGGCTGAACACTGGCAGGGTTGGATGGTTTCAAAGCTGAGATCCAATTCAAAATATGTACAGGAGGTCAGAATTATAGGGTCACCCTGAAATGTGACAGAAAAATAATCAAGACATGTTAAAGTCATTAGCCTATACAAATGTTTATGCATTTGAAAAGACCATACATTAGCGTACTGGAGTGTTTTGTTGATCAAAGCATAATTCTGATGTAATCCATCTGAAAATCCAAAGCCACATTTTATTCAAAATTACAAGGAATAACCTGAAAAATGATGATTATTATGCATTGCTGCTAGCTGGTCCCACAATACATTTTTATGGATTGTTTCACATATTGTCTGGCATAGTATTTCAACATGTTAGTATTATATGTAAATTGAGAGCTGAAGCTTCACATACCACTGAAAGCAGCATGGACAAGACACAAAAGAACACAGACTTACAGGGCTAAGGACACATATGAAATATATATTATTACATCAGACTGAAACTTCTCTAAAGAGTTATTATGCATAATAAGTATATTGGTAAAAATGACCATTTTACCAATATGTTTTGCTTAATTTTTAAAAATATAGATAGCCAGCTGACTTCATGCTGTTGCAGAATTCCATTGAGGTAGTTTGCTGTGGGACTGGTTGAGGTCTTGTCTCTTTCCAAACTATTTTCTATGGTAATCTTATGCTTATATAAGGCATTGCTCTTCAACGATAAGTTGACTGGTGTAGAAAACTCATTTTTCGTAAGCACTCGTAAGCAGTCAAATCCAATATGACAAAACTTATCACTGTTTATGCAGAGAACACAAAAGTAAGAACCACTGATTGTATTTTACATGGATAATCTGTGGAGGTAGTTTATTTGGAAAACCAGTTATTGTGACATTGTGTAACAGTGCTATCTCCAGCACCCAGTCAATGCCAATTTTTCTTGATTAAGACCAACTTCTTCCATAAATCACTGCAAATGTATGTTGAGCAGGGTATTATGACTTGGTGTATGAGTGATGACTTGTAATGGGATCTATAAATACACACATAGTATTTTGAGTAGTTTTGGGTTTTATAAGTTGGAGGATCTTGTGAAAGTGATGTATTAAGCAGAGTACCTGTACGTTAATCCCTTGATTTTGCTCATCGTTAATCGTTCCTAAGGTGAAAATTTGTAAACCAAAAAAGAAAATTCCCATTACTTTCCATGTAAAATGGTACAAAGCTGTAGCTGATCCCAGTCTGTTTATGTATATACATCTCTAAAAATGTAGATAAATCTGAGTTTTTTTAAATTACGTAATACCCCCATAAGTAAAAATTAAGGTAACATTTGTGCAAGTTCAGTGTTATGTAATCTGGACAGTTCCTGTACTGGGAATTGGCTAAAGAGTTCACATTAAAATTTCTTGAATTTTGCCAGAGTTAAAGTTGGAAAGTCATTCCTGAAAGGTCCATATTTCCTGCACAGTACTTTCAATTTATTTATTTATGTGTTTTTGGAAGAAGATGGCTTTGTGGACAGCCCACCTGCCAGTATGGACAAGTGCTGCTGTTTGTGCGTTGTGTAGTCTCTGCTCAATACGACAATGTCGGCCTGTATGGAAAGACCTAGAAGTGTCCTTTTGAGTTGTTTGTAGGGTGGCATCGCTAACTGAGAAAAGTGCTCATTTTAACTCCCAGTCTTTGGTGTTTCAGGGTTTGGCAGGAAGGATGTGGTAGAGCACCTCCTGCAGACCGGCGCCAACGTTCACGCCCGGGACGATGGCGGTCTGATCCCATTGCACAACGCCTGCTCCTTTGGCCACGCCGAGGTGGTGAGCCTACTGCTGTGTCAGGGGGCTGACCCCAATGCCAGGGACAACTGGAACTACACCCCTCTGCATGAGGCCGCCATCAAGGGCAAGATCGACGTATGCATCGGTAAGAGCCTGACGCCAGCGCCGTGTCCACACCTCCTTCTCTTTCCATGTCTCCTCCTTACCCGTTAGATCATGTAGGTTACAAAATCGGCAAATTAGTTAATGGTGTCTTTTATTTATAAGCTATAGTCCAGAATCTGCGTTTGATAATTCTGCTTCATCAGCTTTAATTAAATAAAGTTACAATAGAACATGGTGGTTGTTATTGTAACTTAAGCAGGTTGTCGACTTGGGTAGTATTGAGTGTGGCTGTGATAGGTGAAGAAAGTACTTGGCTTTGCTGTACAACTAAAGTCTTGTGTTAGGAGTTCTACTACTGTTCTAAGAACTGGTTCTGAACTTAAATCTTTTAAGACATAGCCACTGCCCCATGTATTGTTAAGGAATAATCATTCATTCCCAGTATACAAAGAATTGAAATTGTTATGGTACCTTATGTGTTTTTAACTGATTGTGCCTCTGTGTATATCATCTATTGAAGCCATGAGCACCTTTCTGTAATTCATGGACAGTTTGTTTTCAGAATACATAACCTTCAGTCAAGACATTCCAGTACAACCACCTGCCAAATCCCGTCAGCGCTGTCATGTCTGTCATGATGAATATTGAGCCATCTGCACATTTTGATATACAGTTCTACAGCAGCTTTATCGACTAATTGATATTGGAATAATACACCCGTAAGAGCTAAGCCTGGAAATCCCTACCATCAGAGACTGAAAAGATTTTTGCTTTTTACGGGCATTTTAATATTGTAGCTTTTTATAAAATCGATCACTTTTGTTATTGTCCCTTAAAAGTGAAAAGGAGAAAAAATAAGTTTAAGGAATAGATTCTCATGAAATGTCAGCAACTGGCATTTTAAAAAAAATGAAGAGAACCTAAAATATTTATGCATAAATGAAGAGGTGCCATTCCATGGTGCTGCACATTCTGCACACACTTGTAAATACACACTAAACTGGGTTTAATTTTGAGTTTAGACGTGTAGGGTACTCCTTAAGTTTAGATGCTGTAATTATTATTTTGCAGATTTAATATAAATATAAGATGCAGTCAATAAAGATGATTTAATTTCCAAGAACATGCCGCTCTTTGTAAAGGCAAAAGACAACATTGGACTGAATGGGCTTTGAGAGGGGAAATCCTCCTGGCTTCATGGACCTTTTGAGTGCAAGAGTGATTGCTCCTTCCTTCTCCCTCACCCCTTGCTGGTCTGATCAGTGATTTTGCTGCTTATTACACAAGGCTTGTGCCAAGCGGTTGTTCAGGCCTGTCTGGAGACGTGATTAAGGGAAGCTGTATAAATAAGAGACTGACTGATTAATTAATTAACGGATTGAGCTTTGGCGCTCCGGGGCTAAACAGATCAGGAGTTTCATCTTGTTAGATTCATCAGGTGAAAAGAGTATCGGGGGGAGAAAGGCAATTGGCAAGCATTTATCTGCTATTCATTGCCCTTCAGACTCGGTGATCCAGTTAAAGGAGTTGCTGAGAGATCGGGGTCTTTCTGTTGGAGATTGGTGCTGCAGGGTCTCTTCAGAAATTGCATCCAGCCAAATGGCAGACCATAAGCCCACCATTTATATTTTTGACAGAACTATACACATTTTTTCTCAGATACTGGATACCACCTTTAATTAAACAAATGAAGAAAAGAAACATTTGTTTGTCAGATGATTCTTCCGTTTATTTCCCCTTCAGAATTTCTAAGTGTTACTTTCAATTTCTCAGGTACTTTAAAATGGTTCAGTTCTGCCTACTTAGAATCAATAAATGTAGTAAGACCTTTTAATCGCATCTTGAAAAGAATAATGTTAAATGAGAGAGGAAATTTGATAATACAGAAATGCACATCAGTGTTTGTGTTTAGGTCATTTAAAAAAGGGAAAGGTAAGTATTTGAAATATTAAAAATAAATGAAAGTGTGAAGAACTGGGGCTGCTGGTAGTCCAGTTCACTTAGTATCTGCTATTAAGACTGTATTTGCGTTTCATTTTGCTTGAATTTCATGTGCTGTTGCTTTAACTTTTACATACACATGGGGGCCATGCTTTTTGAATTGCTAGAGAAAAATATTATTTGGCAGTGCTTTTTACAGGTGACATACTTCTGTAAAAATGTGGCAAATACTTTGAAGTTTGCCCTTTGGGATTGTGAAATTCTGAACATGGAGACGTGTGTATGAAAGAGGAGATTCTGTTGCGTGGGAAACGATATGCGGCTAAATTAAATAAACCTAACAATATTTTTAAATAGAGTGAAAAAGATGCAGTTCAGAGCATGAGTGCTTTGCGTCAGTAACCTTCTCAGTGAGTATAAGAAGAAAAGCTCAAGTCTTGTAATATAGTTTGTCATAAGCAGAACAAGAGATTTTTCATGAGCACTCTAGGTTTTGCCTTCTAGAAAGGTTTTCCTTTCATTAACTAGAGCAGATAACCGTATGGGCAACGAGAGAATTGGTTGACAATGTTCTTTCGAAATCCATCAGCAACATTTGCAGGGGCATGAGAGCAATTGTCCAACTTCAATCTGTTCATCTCGTGTGATTGGAATGGACGTTTGAGAGAGGAAGGCCTTGTGCTCCTTTGTCCTGTACTCTGGTCCAGACAGGAAGAGTGAGCGAGAAGGAGGGATCCGAGCCTCTAGGAAAGAATTGAGCTTTTTTTCCCTCAAAGCAAAGGCAATGTATTTTCCAAGACTAGAGGGACATTTTAACTACGCTTAAGAAAATAATATAAATGAAAAATGACACAATCCTGGGATGAACATCATTGATAACTTGTCTGCTCTCCGGCTTGCCCAGAGTGTTCCCTGTAGTATTCTGTACCAGCATGCTGTTTTTCTTCTTTGTATGTCTTTATTCTTTTTTTCCCCAGTCAGCTGGAGTGTTTAAATTATATTGAAACCCTAACTAAAACACACAACGCAGGGGGTGTTATAGATAAGAATAGTGCATGGAAACCAGGTTAGGTAAATTGGCTGGGGGAATGTTTTCTTTTTCAGGGCACTGTTCACATGACACTGATGGTACTTTTTCAGTTGCCTTTTGTGTTTATACATACAGTAGCTCATTAATGATTTTAGTTAACGTTTTTATAGTAGTTGCATTGTTTTACCAGGGCATTACAAAACCAGTCTTCTAATGAAATACTGTCCACATTTGGGTTAATAAAAGATGTAGGAAAGAGAAATTGATGTAAGTCACAAAGTACACTGTAGGCTTGGCACTCTGAATGTGTTTTATGAGCCCATCTCCATTCATAATGCAGGACCAGGCAAGTAGCTGTGACATGGTTGTATAATCCCTAACTAAAGATGTGCATTATATAGCTTTTAATTTACATTGTAAATTCTGCACAGAGTTGCTTTCTAAAAAAACTGGTATCCCATTCCTCTTGATTAGCTCCTCTGATTTTGTCATTAGGTAGTCTTAATAAATTCTGTTATCCTCTGTGTTCTTGGGAATTTATAAGTTTCTGCTATGAAACTAGTATAATTAAGGGTGGCTTGAAACCTGTTTCTTGTTTGATATTCATTACATCAGTGTCTTACAGATGCGTTTTTTTTCCCCACTTTGCTCTTTGCTACTATGGAAGCTGCAAACTAATTAGATAAAGCCTGTGTAATTTATTTTTGACCTTCAGAAAACAAGAATGTGGAAGAAAAATGTATCAAAAAGTCAATGCAAAAAAATGGTTTAAAACTTCCAGATCCCAGGGTTATGTCTTTCAAAATCAGAATGCTTTTCTCTTTAGAATGTACCTTGTCCAGTGTGCAGACTTTCCCTTCTTTGTCTGGATTGTATGAGCTTGTTAAAGTGCTAAAAAAAATGTAGCAGGGACTGACTGTTTTCACAGCATACATTGTATATAAAGTAGTACCTGATTATCTCCTGCATACAAAATGCAAAATTTGAATTGTTAAAAAATCAACATTTAGCATTAATATTTTCTCTTTTCTACATGTATATGTAACTAAAACATTGAGGATATTATTAATCAGATGTGCTTGGTCATTTAAAATGTTCTAGGGCTGGTGCTTATATAGAAGAAATGCTTAAGGTTTGATTAAACCCTTAATGGGAGATAAAACTGCAGCATAAGGAGACGCACTATTGCAATTTCTTAACTACCAATTGGTAACACTAAAACTGTGGCATTTTTCTTATGTTGGGAGCCACATTGTAGGAATCCCATGTGAGACCCAGCCCGGGTACTTGCCATTCCACTACTAGAGCCATTTGTTACACACAGTCCTTACTTATCCCGTTGAAGCATCTGAGTGGACCATTAACATCTGCCCTTTTATCTTAATATGACCAAAAAAGATCTGTGGACTGTAAACTTCTGACAATATCTGCAGATATCTGCAACTGTAATAGATTACTGGGAAAAGGCAGGGATGGTTCCTGGATCTGGCCTTAAAAAGAATAACATCCTCCTTCCTAGGAAGGGAGGAAATAGTATGCAGCCAAAGCTGGTTGTTGAACTTGGACCGATTCAGTATTTGAAGGAAGAGGGGGTATTAACTGTAGATTTCAGTCATTGGAGAGCTATGAATGTATCACAGTTATAAGTGAAAATTAAAGACCCTTCCAAGGAGATGTATGAGACTTGTTAGTGGAACGACTGTCTTAATTATTTTAATGGTGAACTTTCGATCCATATGTCCTGATGCATTGCAAAGTGAAGCCCTGAGGCATTCCATTACTGTGCACCAGCTTGTATTAAATTCCCCATTTTGTCAGGGATATAAAAACTGACTTGTGTGAGAATTACAACATCTGTTGTGTGATGGATGCATTTAGAGTCATCCACCAACCACCAGTGTATGATCAATGTTGAAAATCTAATGTAGAAGTTTCATCTCGGTGGGATTTGCTGTATTTTCTATTTCAGTACACACACCTTTGTATTTTTGGACTGGATGTCTCGTGTGCAAGAGCTTGTGGTCCGATTCCTTGAAATGCATCAGGAGCTGTGAAAGTCGCAGGTCAAT